GAAGTGGTCTCCCTGGTGGACAGTATGAGGGAAGAAGAAGAGGCCCGTCTCTCCCAGATCCAGGCCGATCTCGACTCCACATCCACTGCATCGACTGCCCTCTCCAAAGTTCGAATCGACGAGCTTCTTATATCAGTAAGTTTTTTTCTTAATATTCAATTCTTTTATTTATTTTATAATGATTATAATTTTAAATTTTTTTTTTCAGGCGATTCCAAAGAAGAAGGGACATTATGTCGGTTTGGGTCGTCGATCCAAGTCGACTCCTTCTACATCCCAGGTTGATCCTATGCTGATAGATCAACTGAAGGATAAGGATGCCCGCATCGCTATGTTGGAGGCGAAGATGGCGGCTCAAGAGGCTGCTAGTAAGGCAGAAAGGAGGCGGAGTGAGAAGATGATGGAGGCGTTCTTGAAGCAATTCCCAGAGCATAACTTCGACAACGACGACGACGAGGAGTAGTTCTTTTTATATCTTGTTTCTGTTTTGAATTTCTGTTTCGAATATTACTTTTTAACATTATCTATATTATGTTTTTATTTGAATTTCAATTTTCAATTTAAAAATTTTAAATTTTAATTTTGAATTTTAATTTTTTAAAAATAAATTTATATTATTTTTTAAAAAATTAAAAATTACGAAATTTCCGAGGAAACATTCCTCGGAATCTCCGTCGGAATATTCTCAGGAATACTATCCCTCGGATTATTCCGAGGAATACCTTTCCTTGGAATTTACCGAGAGATTGAAGTCCTCGGAATATTCCGACGGACGGATTCCTGGGAATATTCCGAGTAGTTTCTTCCCTTGGAAATTTTCGTTGAAATTCCGACAAACGGTTCCATCGGAAAACATCCTCGGAATGTCCTCGGAATATTGTCCGTCGGAATTTCCTCGGAATATTCCCAGGAAATTCCGACGAAAACTGCGATTCCGAGGAGATTTTTCCGAGGGAAATTTTTTTCGGAATATTGTCGGAATCGCCTGATTCCGACGACATTCCGAGGAAATCGTCCCTAGGAATCGATGTGTTTTCTTGTAGTGTAGCATAACGTCATCAATCGATATTTCTATCGAACTATCGATCAATACTCACTCAAGGTCATCGAACGATAGTTCATGATCCGAGATCCAGTAAGAGTTAATTCTTCAAATCCTTAAGAGTTTGAATTCAGAAATATGAATAATAAAAACCCTTTATAACTTGCATGTTTGTCATACCTGAGAAAATGACTAAGTTTAACTACCTTCTTTCCTCCTAACAAACAAATCAATCAATCAAGCAATCGCTTGGTTACCTTTTAGGTTATTGTTTTAAACTTGCTGTATAGCTTTACTTCAAAGACAAAATAATATGTTGTGTAATTCAGAGTCTCTGTGGATTCGATCCTTAAGTAATACGATTGAACCTCTTATTTGAGAGAGTAATTCACTCCTTAGGGTTAAAAATTTGAGTGATATCAAATTAGGCGTTTCCGGGGACTCTTTCTTATTACCATCAGATTTAGTTTAGAATATAGTCTAGATTTCATGTTCGTTTATTTAATTATTTTTCCTCTTTCTCTGCTATCACAGGGAACTCAAGGTGGAAAAGACAGATTTCGGCCAAGCATCGACCGATGACGTAACGCACACATCGAGCGATATGTTGACCGAGGAATCGATCGACATAATCCAACCAACATCGGAAGCAGGTAAGTCTTTACTTACCAACCTAGTTAATGAGGAAGTAGTCCAAAACGAACCATTAGGTCAGTTATGCAATGAAACCAATAAATTTACAGTTAAACAGGGGACTGCAATCCCTGTCAAATGTTATCCATCTTCAACCGAAGATGCAGAAAAACTGCAAGACTACTTAGACCCCATTAAGACCTATTCCAATAGGTCAGCTATTAAGTTACCAGAGGATGAAGAAAATAAGTCTACGCTTCATTTTGACTACATCCATCTGGTACAAAAAAATCCTTTCCATGGTTCTCCCTCAGAGCACCCCCACGAGCACATCGAATATCTGGAAGAACTATCACTTGACGATAATAATCGTTGTATACTGTTCCCCTTCTCCTTAGATAGGGAAGCCAGAAATTGGTTAAATCAAATACCACCGGGAACCTTAACCTGCTGGAAAGATATTCGCATTGCTTTCATTAACCAATTCTTCGATGAGACTCGATATTGGGACGTGAGATATAAACTCTCCACATTGCTTCAAGGCCCACGAGAATCTTTCAGAAATGCTTGGACTAGATTTAAGAAGAACCAGCGAGATTGTACCCACTATGGTTATTCAAAACCACAGCTCCTTAAATTCTTTTACGGAGACCTCGAGCTAGATTACCAGATCACGCTAGATAATGCTAGTGACGGAAATTTTAGCTCCAGGAACCCTGAAGAAGCAAATCGTTTGATTGAAAACATAGCAATGGGTAAATCTTATGAAAATAAAGATAAAGAAAGAGAAGCTAGATCCAGGAACGACCTTCAAATAGATAAAATTAAGAAATCTCTAGATCTCCTTCATTCTTTCATAAAGGAAAAGAAACCTGGTATTATGCAAAGCAAGAAGGATGTCCATTCCATTGAGCAGGCATTCTTTAGACATGAAAGCCCTCAGGAAGACCCTTTTAACATAGATAGTTTTACCCAAAACTATGACACCCTCACCGTATCACACCGAGGGAGAGCCCAAACCATCTTAAACCATGTCTTCACGGGAAATCGGAGGCTAAGCCAAGACCTAGACATCAAGCTGAATGATGTTTACTGCGAAATGTTGAAGAAATTTGACACTTTGCATGAGCAAATTAAAAGTCTAGAAAGCGATGTCGCCAGTTGTGCTACCGCTATCAAGAGGGAAGGAGGACGTCTACCAGGGAAGACTGATACAAACCCGAGACATCATGTAAGTGCTGTAATGTTGAGGAACGGGAAACAGCTAACCCCAATTATTACAGAAAGCACCCCCTCGGAAGGAAACGCTGAAATTCCGGAAACAGAGAAATTCATTCCTAACCCCGTGCAACTCCGCGATTCAAAATCTGAACTCCCGCAGAACAAAGAAAAGAATAAAAATTCTAAGGAAACTGAGGAACCGGTAATCATTCTCGATGAAGAGGGAATTGTCGATGTCGATCGATACGGAGACACTGATATCGATCGACAAACACCCATAAATTCGAAAGAGAGTCCAACATCCACTGGACCAACTATAGAACGGGTGTACAACACTTTACCTCCCTACCCTCCCAAGGCTAATGCTAGGCGCAACCTGGATAAAGAAATCTGTAGACGAGCTTTCGAACGAGTTAAGGTAGAGATACCACTTATTGACGCCCTCAGAATTTCACCAACCATAAGACAGTATATCAAAGGAATGACAACCAAGAGTTTTTCAACAGAGAAACGCAGTGTCATGATTGTTTCAGCAGAAGCTAGCGCCATAATTCAAACCCCAGAAAAGAGACCCGATCCTGGTAGATTCGTTCTCAAATGCACAATTCGAGACCAGCTATTTCCGAGAGCACTCTGTGAACTAGGCTCTAGCGTAAATTTAATGCCGCACTCCGTTGCAACATTCCTTGGGTACACCGAATTTACACCGGCCAACATCCAACTAGTTCTCGCCGATAGATATGTTCGGATCCCGGAAGGTGTACTTGAAGATGTACCAGTTAAAATCGACGGATGCACTGTCCCAACAGATTTTGTTGTGCTACATTACAAGAATGAACCGAGAGATCCGATTCTATTAGGTAGACCATTCCTTGCTACTGCAAACGCTATTATCGATGTCAAGGAAGGACGAATACATCTTAAGATAGGCAACATCCCTATGAGATTTGATATGGAGTAGGTCATCACACTTCCTTTGATAGATAAACAATCATCTTATATAGATGAGGTGGACAAGATGACCCAAGAATCTTTTAAGAAATTGTACTCGGATGATCAATTGGAAGATGCGCATGTATCTGCTCAGAACGACGTTTTCGGCATAGATAGCAGAGCAGACGAGTGCGATCGTCTCATAGAAACTTGTCATGGATCCTCAGATATCGGAACCAAAGGCGACAATGAATCAGAGATTGATATCGATCAATATCTTAAAAGCAATATCGATCGACACCTGCCATCAATTGGGAATCTCATAAAGGAAAAAGCACCAAAAGTGGAGTTTAAGCCGCTACCCGCTGGACTTAAGTATGCTTTTCTTATGGAAGATTCTTATTCAGTGATAGTTAACACAAATCTCACTAATGGGGAACTTGCTCTATTACTGAACAAGCTTCGCAAGCATAGGAAAGCACTTGGATACTCTTTAGATGACATCCGAGGCATATATCCTGACCTTTGTATGCACCGGATTCATCTGGAAGACGAATCCAAGTCGTATGTCGAACATCAGAGACGACTAAACCCAAATCTCCAGGAAGTCATAAAGAAGGAAATCATTAAACTGCTTGATGCAGGGATAATCTATCCAATTTCTGATAGCAATTGGGTAAGTCCGGTCCACGTAGTACCAAAGAAGGGAGGTATTACAGTCGTCAAGAACGAAAAAGATGAACTTATCCCAACAAGGACTGTAACCGGACACCGCATGTGTATCGATTATAGGAAACTAAACTCTGCAACCCGGAAAGATCACTTTCCTGTACCTTTTATTGAGCAGATGTTGGAAAGATTAGGAAATCACCAATACTATTTCTTTCTTGATGGATATTCCGGATTTTTCAAAATCCCGATACATCTGGATGATCAAGAAAAGACAACACTCACATGCCCCTATGGAACCTTTGCATATCGGAGGATGCCATTTGGTCTGTCTAACGCCCCAGCTACTTTCCAATGCTGCATGATGTCAATCTTCACTGATATGATAGAAAAATTCATGGAAGTATTCATGGATGACTTCTCAGTTTATGGATCGAGTTTTAAAGATTTTCTCGACAACGTATGCAAGGTTTTGGAGAGATGTGAGGAAAAGAATCTGGTCCTAAACTGGGAAAAGTGTCATTTCATGGTCAATGACGGAATCGTGCTCGGACACAAAGTGTCCGCAGCCGGAAATGAAGTAGACAGAGCAAAGATAGAAGTGATGACGAGTCTACCGCCCCCAGCTAGCATAAGGGACATCAGAAGCTTTCTAGGACATGCAGGATTTTATAGGAGATTTATAGAGGATTTCAGCAAGATAGCCAGACCCCTGACTACCCTCCTTTGTAAGGACACTAAATTTGATTTCACACCAGAATGCCAACAAGCATTTGAAAAGATCAAGAAAGCACTGATAACTGCCCCCGTCGTACAAGCATCTGACTGGAGCCTTCCATTCGAAATAATGTGCGATGCGAGCGATTTCGCTGTAGGAGCGGTTTTAGGGCAACGAAAAGAGAATAAGCTACATGTTATTTATTACGCCAGCCAAACTCTAGACGACGCTCAAAGAAACTATGGAA